CGAAGGCCCCAGTGGCTGCTCTCGCATGCGGTTCCCCCACCCAGGACAGCGTTTCGTGGCCCCATAGGGTCCACCGAAGGCCCCAATGGCTGCTCTCGCATGCGGTTTCCTCACCCAGGGCAGCGTTTCGTGGCCCCATGGGGAGCCCCACCGAAGGCCCCAGTGGCTGCTCTCGCATGCGGTTCCCCCACCCAGGGCAGCGTTTCGTGGCCCCATAGGGAGCTCCACCGAAGGCCCCAATGGCTGCTCTCGCATGCGGTTCCCTCACCCAGGGCAGCGTTTCGTGGCCCCATGGGGAGCCCCACCGAAGGCCCCAGTGGCTGCTCTCGCATGCGGTTCCCCCACCCAGGGCAGCGTTTCGTGTCCCCATAGGGAGCTCCACCGAAGGCCCCATTTTCTGGTGCCCGCATGCATTTCCCCCACCGAATGCGTTGCTCACAAAGACGGTACTCACAACTGCATATGGTTGGGTCCTTCGCCAGGCTAATTTGACGGTTGCAGGGCCCGGCAAGGGCCCCCAGAGGATGGACGCAGCGAACAAACATCTCGCGCCATGTTTTTCTTACGACGCGAGGGGGGTCTGCGGATGAGGGGCGGGTCTTGGGGGAGGGCCCCGGGGCCCAGGATCCGTGTCTTTCGGAGCCCCATTTCCGATGACGACGTGTGTGCGCGTACCGCGTGGGTGAAGCATCGTCGACCTTTTGCCCAGGGCGTCTCCTGAAGCATCGTCGACCTTTTTGCCCATGAGTGGTGCGGTGCACAGTCTTTGGGCCCGCAGGGCCGAGCGAAAAGTACGCACTGGGCCTCCTGGATGGGGGTCGGTGTAGACGGGGTCGGAGGATCGCGCCTCGCCGATGCATCGCCGATGCATCGCCGATGCATCGGTCGCCGACGCATCGGCGATGCATCGGGGATGCGGCGCGATCCTCCGACCCCGTCGACTCCGACCCCATCTAGGAGGCCTCTACGAATGGAGACCCTCGAAATGCAGTGCTCGTACGTTTCTTTCGCGCCACGAGGTGGAGATCGCCGGCCCGACGATGACTGGCGTCGTCAAGTCGTGGATCGACGAGAGGGGCACCACTTTCATCCTGAATATCGCTCCACCTCCTTCCCCCAGACCTCCAACATCTCCAGACACTCAATGCGGCAGTTTGGCCAATTTTCGGACGCTGGAAGCCCTCGCCGGGCCCCAGGAATGACAAACAACTCGGGATGAAGATCCGGCCCTGGGGAAGAGGTCTAGGGTTACGCTTGCGAACGCTTGCACACGCTTGAAAGCACGACAGAGGCACTGTTGGGCACTTTTGGCCACATTAGGTGGAAAAGTAAGCAAAAGTGACCAAACGTGCCCAAAAGAACTTCGACGTGCGTGCCAACGCTCGCAAGTGTCGCAAACGTGCCCAGAAGTGATCACAAAGTGATTGCAAGCCCTCCAGAATATTTTAGGCGACGGTGCTTGCAAACGCCTGCAAGCGTTGGCAATTTGGTTCCCAAAATGCCAGAAAAAATCTCAGAAGTGCTTCCAACATGGTTGCAACGTTCGCAAAGGCTTTCAGCAGTGCCCTGAAGTGCTTCCGTAGTGCTTACAGACGTTCGCAGAGCGCTTCCACAGAAATAGCCTCCAGAATGTTTCGGGTACTTCTCCAGGAAGTGTGTTTAACGGTGCCCAGCGCACTTCAGACGCATTTGGGAACTTTCGAAAGTTCTCGCGAAGCGTTTCAATCATGCCCAACATTGAAGGAGGAGGACGATGAGGAGCAGGAGGATGAGGAGGGGGAGGAGGAGGACAACAGCGGAGTTAGACTGTTCAGGAGTCGGGCGAGGAGGAATGAGGAGGGAGTGGAGGAGGGTGGGGAAGAAGAGAGGTGGGGAAGGATGAAAAACAGGAGGGGGCGAGGAATGGTGGAGCGGGAGTAGGGGGATGGGGTAGGAGGGCGGTGAGGAGAAGAAGGACGGCGAAGAGGGGAGGAGGACGGTGACTACGGTAGGGTGCGAGCAAGAGCATTTGCAAACGCGGCATCAATAATGTGTGTTGTTCACGGTTGTTATTCGAAGTGTTTTTTTGTCGTTGTAATGGGGGCGTTATGAAGGCATTTCGCCAACGTTTGCGAGCGTTCGCGGGCATTTGGGGGAGGGGCACGCTTAGGCGATGTTGGGCAGTATGATTTGAACATAAATTTCCATTAGTTTCACGTTGCATCTGGCAAGGTTGCACTGCTTCGGGCACGGGCCCTCACTTATCGATCTGGCTTCTAACATGTTGCGGGAACGTATGGTGTCTAGGGTCCTAGTCATGTTTCTTGTTTTGTAAACAGAGGGAGGGTGCGATCGGAAGTCGTCAGGTCGATCGTCGTGTATCGGGCATCGGCATGTCGTGAATCGCTGAGGCCGCCCCTGTCTGGCCTCCGAATTCCCCCTGCGCTTCTCCAGCTCCCCCATTCTCTCTCCCGTCCCCCTCACAGAGGGAAGAACTCCGCCCTTCCACTCGCCCTCCTCCTCTCCCGCCCCATCCTCATCTCCCTCCTCTCCTTTGCCAGGCCATGGGTGCGCAACCTCATCATCCCTCACCATTCCTCATTGCCCAGGTTGGCTTCAGGCCGCTGTGATATCCTTCTCTAACCGTCCTCATCTCCCTCCTCCCGGTACCGTCCCCTTCCACCAACCCCTTGTCAGAAGACCCCTCTACATTCTTAGGAGCCCACCCCTCTCGCCTCACTCTCAGGCGTGCGCCGCGAAGCCCCCTATCACTCGCATCCCACACGCCCGTCCTTTCCCCCCCCCCCCCCCCCCCTCTCTCCCCCCTGAAGGGAGAGAGAGAGGGAGGGGAAACAGGAGCGAGGGGCGGGCAGAGGGAGAGGGAGCCCCTTCTCTCGCCCTGTCCTCGCTCAGCAGCGAGCTTCCCGTGGACCTCCTCGGGAGCCCTCCAGCATCTCCTCCGTTCCCCTCCCTCCTCCCACCGGGGACGCCCCGGGCAGGAGGAGGGAGGAGGGAGGAGGGAGGAGGGAGGAGGGAGGGAGGGAGGGAGGGAGGGAGGGAGGAGGAGGAGGAGGACCCTGCTAAGTGCAGGGGGGGGGGCCCGCATGGCTGCGCACCTTCCGCAGAGGCCCGGCTGCCCTGCCCACGGCAGGGGCCCGCCTCCGAGGCGCTGCTCCTCCTCCTCCTCCTCCTCCCCCTCCTCCTCCTCCTCCTCCTCCTCCTCCTCCTCCTCCTCCTCCTCCTCCTCCTCCTCCTCGCCGAAAGCCGCGGGGGGCGCGAAGATCAGCACGCCCCGCGCGCCGCCGTCTGGGCCGGGAGCAAGGGCCCGGTCTCGTGGTCTCGACTCCTGCGGCGCCGGCTTCCCGGGAGGCCCACTTCGGCAGCGCAGCCGCGGTGTTTTTTTGTTTGTTTCGAGCCCTCTTCCCCGCGGCGGCACGAGAGCGCGAGGGCGCAGAGGCCCCCGCGCGTCGTGCTCCCCGCGGGGCGCGGTGCGCGAGGTCGGGCGGCCCGGGTCGCAGGTGGCAGCAGCGGGCAGGAAGCGTGCACAGTTTCGGGGGAGCGTACACCTTAGGTGATGCTTAAGAAAACCTAAGTTTTCGGCCAGAGTCCCGATTGTTCTTAATTTTTCAATGTAAATCCCAAGATTTTGATAGAAGATCTGGGTTTTATTCAATTTCTGAGAGCATGAATTTCTTAACCCATGATTGCTTAAACATTTCGCAGGGTGTAAGACCCGGGTTTGCCAGGACTCGGGTTCGCCATCGTTTTTTGACGGCCGCGCCCCGGATTTTGACGAGGGGGAGTTTCCTGGGATGTCTGCAGCGGGAGGCCTCGTCAAAGTGCAGGCTCGGCCTCGTCATTTTTTTTACGACCTCGTCGGGGATTTCCGAGTCCCTTGTGCCCAGGTCTTACGTTTCCCTGACAGTTTGGCCCGCGAGTGCAGTCGACCCGCATGCTGAGGATGGGCAGCCTTCCCAAGGGTGCTCCTGCATCCTTGGCTCCTCGGTCCATCCGTGGCCACTTTCGTCGGTCGCGCTCCAAGGCCCTTGCACACTTATCGCGCATCCTTACTAGACGGGTGGACTGGATATCTAGGTGCTCTTCTTTCTGCCCCATCCTCCTTTTCCGCCCTGTCTCGCCTCCTGTTGACCTCCGGGGTCTGTAGCCTAGATGCGCCTATGTGTTTCCATTTCTGGTTACCATACGTGCAATCTTGCCCACGCGTCTTCTCCACGCAAGGCTCATCAGTCAGTCAGTCAGGTTGCGTTTGAGCACGTTTGTTAGCAGTTCTGTGGTGCCCTTGATCGTTCCACACTGCTGTTTTCCCCCCTTTTCTCCCCTTCGCGTCCCAAGGGCATCCTCGGACGATCTCAGGCGGATGCCAGAACCGACCAAGTCCACCTCCTCCCTCCTCGCTCCGCTCCTGATCGACCCCCCACGGCTTTCGCGCCTTACATCGGTCTCTGGCGGCCGTTCGGGACGATCCGGGCACCCCCCAGAACGCTCGCGGCGAGGCGCAGCTGTTGCTAGAACGCATCCCGAGGCAGGAAAGCCCGCGAGAACCGACAAGAATTGACAAAGTGCTTCTCCTTTTCTCTCCTTCGCGTCCAGAGCGTCCTCGGATGATCATGGGCGGAGTCCAAAACTGAGCAAGTCCACTTCCTCCGTCCCCAGATCTCTGACGTCGCCTTTTAGTTTGTGCATAGGTGCATGTGTATATATACATATATATATGTACACATTACATCAAACAGTCAAACCTGGATCGCCGCGGCATGGATGGGGGGGGTATAAGGGGATGCCAACGTGGTCGTATTTGGCCAAACCCAGTTATATGTGGATTGTAACTACCCAAGATGGAATTGTCAGGGGCATACCTCCGCGAATTGGGCGGGCCCACTTAGCCGGGATATCGACACACCCCTTCGCCACACAGGACATGTGTAACCTACTTGTGAGCCAGGCTTGGCCAGATAACCACCTCGGCCTCCGCTTGCCTTTCGCCTTATTCACTGAGCACCCCCGCGGCGATCCAAGCTAGACCCCTTCCGAGGGACCTGTTTTTCATCCCGAGTCGTGTTGTGACGGTTCTGGGGCCCGTGCTCCCCGCGCGAGCGCAGCAGGGCCCTCCCAGCCAGGCATGGGTTTCATCGCGCCGGACGCGGGCGGCGCCGACGCCTTCGTGCACCGCAGCGACCTGTCCGACGGGCAAATGCTGACCGTCGGCTCCACGGTCAGCTTCGAGGACGGGTTCGACAGCACGAAGGGCATTGGAGGAGAGGGAAACCAGTGAGATCCGGGCGTTGCACCTTTTTAACACGGGGCAGTTTGTCGCCCACCGCAGAACATCGGGCGTCTAGGCTTCTGGTCGTTTCTGTTGTTCCGTGACGTGACGTTGTATGTTTGTTTGTTGTATGTTCGTGACGTGTTTCTGGTCGTGATGTTGTATGTTTGTTCCGTGACGTCGGGATCTCAGGGATTGTACACCACGACCAGGTCTCCACAGGTCCGCTTCGGACGAGGCTCCGCGCGTGTGCACATCTGTCAGGTGTTCGATCACGGACCCGTTGCTCAACGCAACCATCCAGCTGTCGCGGATGCCGCCAAAGACCGCCGGAAGCCGTCGAGGGCCACCGAAGACCGCCGCAAGCCGCCCGAGGACCGCCGAAGGCGGCCCAGGAGCGGTGGGCAACGAGGGGTCCACGGTCGAACACGTGACAGCTGTGGCTATCCTGGGCCCCCTCCAGGGGCCGGGATAGCCCGTGGTGTGCGGCGGGGCCGCGCGCGCCGAAGCGGGCAGTGCCGAGCCCGGGGCAGTGGCGCCCTCTCGCCCCCGCCCCCCGAGGCAAGCGCACCGCGAAGAACGTGGTGGGCGCGGTCTACCCGGCCGGGAAGGGCGGCGGTCACGGGGGAGGAGAAATTGCATGCAGGGGCGAAGCGTCTTGGCTCGCCAGTGGGCCCGCCAAGCAAGGTTCTAAGAACCGTTCGGGGTCGGCGCGGAATGCTCTTAGGGCAGTTCTGGCCGAGACCGCCTTGTTCGAACGCATCGGGGCTACGCTCTAAGAACGTTGCTTTGTTCTGGGAGCATCTGGGGGTTCTAGGAGCCTGTCGTGGCAGGCCTAGAGGCTACAGGAATGCCGGGACGGTCGGCCCCTGCTCCAGAGAAGCAGCTCGAAGCACGAGCAGCCGCACGGAGACCTGCCCGTTCGGCGGTCCGCGCGGGGTTCTCCAGGGCGGGCGCCGGGGCCCCAGGAGGAGGAGGAGGAGGAGGAGGAGGAGGAGGAGGAGAACGAGGACGAGGAGGGGGAGGAGGAGGAGGAGGAGGAGGAGGAGGAGGAGGAGGAGGAGGAGGAGGAGGAGGGAGGGGAGGAGGAGATGGAGGGGGAGGAGGGCTTCGCGCGCCGGGGAGGGGGGGGGGGGCCCAGCGCAAGTGCAAGGACTCCGTGCGGGCCGTCGAAGGTTTGGGCCGGCAGCGAAGGAGTGCAAAAAGACCCTTCCTTGAACGAAGGATGGCAAAAAAACGAAGGATTGCAGAAAAACGAAGGATTGCAAAAAAACGAAGGGTTTTTTTGCAGTCCTTCTTTTTTGCAATCCTTCCTGCAATCCTTCGTCCCTTTCTCTGCCAGCTCGGCCACGCGCGGGAGGGGGGGGGTACAGGGGGGAGGGGGGGGGCGGCTTCTGAGAGGGGCCCTTGCCTCTTAGAAGGCGCTGGCCCTTTCGAAAGATACGAGGCCGCCGCCTTCTAAGAAGCAGCCTCCTTCTAAGAAGCCTTCCACCCTCCCCCTACCCCCCTGTGCGCGCCGCCAAACAGCGGTACTGCTACCCTTCGCTCGTTTTCGCCCGTTCGGCCTCCGGGGAGGCCCTCGTAGCCACGGCTGGGTTCCGCGCCGAAATCTTCGAATCTAGCCGGAACACACCCCAGGAGATGTCCAGGGAGTATCCGTGTAGATTTGTTCTGCCCCCCCAGGCAGGGCTCGTTTCGATTCTTCCGATTCGATTCGATTTCGATGGCCTCCGAGTTCGATTCGATTCGACTTCGGATTCCGATTTTGAGTCCGATTCCTCAATGGAGGCCTACTTACCTGCCGATTTCTGCCGATTCGACTTCTCCCGACGTGGCTGCCGATATCCGCCGATCCGATTCATTTCGATCGCCGATTCGACTTGTCGATTCGATTCTGGGCTCTCCTGCCCCAGGTGGTCCGCCGCCCCCGGCTGGCAGCGTGGGGACGGGCGCCATGCTCAGCGGGGTAGTGAGGACACCCTGCCGGCACGATCGAAACGGGTGCGGGACAAGTAGTTTCCAGGCCTCCCACCCAGATAGGGTCAGAGAGGATGGGGTCGGAGGGTCGCGCCGCATCGTCGATGCAACGATCCATCGCCGATGCATCGGCGATGCGGCTCGATGGGGAGCTCGATTTTCTCCACGCCGACGTCGCCGATGCATCGGTGAGATATCGACGATACGGCGCGATCCTCCGACCCCACTTATTCTGGCCCCATCCAGGAGCCCTCTAGAGGTGGCGAAGACCAGCAACAGATCCTGTCAATTGTGAGTAGGATTCAGCAAATGGTGTCGCCGCGGACGTATTTTCACTTGCGGCAAAAAGTCGCCTGCCCAACCGCGGCCGCTGTCGGATTAGAATATCGCCCGCTAGTGGGCATCGTGCCCATCTTTGCCATAATTACCCATGTTGCGCGTGCCAACTCAGGCCTCCCAAATGAGGCCGGGGCACATGGAGTCGGAGGATCGCGCAGCATGGCCGATACATCGGCGATGTGGCGCAGTTTGGAGCACGTTCTCCTCCATCCCGCCGTCGCCGATGCATCGGCGATGCGGCGAGAGCATCCGACCCTGAGATCCGGCCTTGCGACATCTCGAAAAACACGACCGGAGACGCATGGACCCCCAGCTTTCGGAGACACTTCGAGCTGGAGCGATCTGGCCCCAGGGCCCGAAGCGGGGCGAGAACGCCCGATGTGAAAGCATAGCATCGCCCAGATCTGAGGAGGCCCCACCCGATCCGGCCCCATGTGGGAGGCCTCCAGAGGGTATCCGCCACGCGCAGAGGGGGGCAGGGGGAGGGGGGAAGTTAGAAGAACCCCTGCTTCTGAGAAGGCGCGGGCCTTGTCGATAGATGTAAGGCCGCCGCCTGAATTATAAGAAGCAGCCTCCCTCTAAGAAGCCTTCCCACGTCCCCCTACCCCCCTCTGCGCGCCGCCAAGGATATGGAAGGAGGAGAGGGGGATGGGCTTCATCGCGCCCGACTCCGGCGGGGACGATGCGTTCGTGCACCGGAGCAACCTGCTCGACGGCCAGCGTCTGCAGGTCGGCTCCCAGGTGACGTTCGAGGATTCATGGGACGCGGCGAAGAACAAGAGGGCGGCCGTGAACGTCACCGGCGCGGTGCCCGACGGGGCCGCTGGGGTTCCGGCCGGGTGCCCAGAGGAGGAAAATGTACCGAAATTGCTGCCCTGGCCTCTTTCTCACCTGTTCTGGGCCCCCTGGCAGAGGCCCTCGTCGCCACCGCGGATTCTCTCGAAGTCCTGGGCAGAACGCGCCCCAGGAGAGGTCCCGGGAGCAGCGGGATCGGCACCCTGTGGTTTCCCCAGGTACGGCGCGGCGCCTCCCCCTCCGACCGGGCCGCCCCCGCTGCAGGCAGCATACGGGCAGGCGGGCTCCAGCGCACCGCAGGGGGGAACGGTCAAGGCGTGGATCGAGGAGTTCGGGGGCGAGAAAGCGGGACCTGGTCGCGCTCGGCGCGCGAGGGAAGGCCTCGCAGCACAGAGCCACGCATTCCGCACGGGTCTCCGAGGATTTGCATGGCTTGAGAGCCGACGTTTACGAACATGCAGCATAGAAAGAACTGCTCGACGCTATCTTCCTGCGCCATTCTTCGAGCTGGATCGGTGTGTGAGGGTCCTGGGGCCGCCCAGATCTCAGGGGGGGTCCAGCGCAGATGCGCGAAATCCGCGCGGACCTCCGAACGTTTGCGTGCTGATGCCGCTGTGTACTCCTCCAGAGGAGCGGGGCATGGGCTTCCTGAGACCAGACGCAGGCGGCGAGGACGTCTTCGTGCACCGGAGCGCGCTGGCGGACTCGGAGTGGCTGGTCGTGGGCGACGCGGTGGTGTTCAGCCAGGGCTGGGACGCGGGCCCCCTCGGGCGGTGCAATGTGTTGCCCAACGGTCAGTTTCAACCGGTGCCGGGCCCCCAGAGCCTCACAGATCGATCCGGGTTCATAGTTGGCGCACGAAGATGGGGTCCAGGGTTCTGGTCGTGAGCTGGCAATTAGCACCCAGACCCATGGGACTCCCAGAGTGTGCCGGGGTGGAATGTAGTTGGGCCATGGGTGGGTGTTGCCGCATGGAGCGGAAGTCCCCCTCGGGGTCCGACCACCCGCACCCGCCTGCCCCTGCCGCCTGCATCGCCTTGCCCTTCCCCATCTCTCCTCCCGGCAGGCTTCAGTGTGTGTGTGTGTGTGTTCTTCTCTCCCCGCTGTCCCAGACCCCCGACGTAATGATTTTTTCATCACGTCGACCCCCAGAGGTCCCGACCCTTTCCCCATGACCGGCTTTGCATCCTGAGTCGTTTTTTGACGCTCCCGAGGCCCAGTGAGGGCCTCCAGAGGCCGAAAATTAGGAAAAACCTCCCGTCATGTTTTTTTCATTACTCGAGGGGGTCTGGGGTTGGCGATACTGCATCGCTGTTCCGCAGCGTCGGATCCCGAGGCAGGGGCAAGATGCTGGCCACGTGGTGCTCGGTGGCGGCCGCCGTGCCGGGCCTGGCGGAGAGCGGCCCCGCGCGCGGCGCCCCGCCGCCGCCCCCCGGCGGCGGCCGCGGTGGCGTGGTGACGGGCGTCGTGAAGACGTGGATCGAGCAAAGGGGCCCTCGGAGGGAGAAAGCACGGCACCCAGACCCCCTCGAGTAATGAAAAAATCATGACGGGAGGTTTTTCCGAATTTTCGGCCTCTGGAGGCCCTCACCGGGCCTCGGGAGCGTCAAAAAACGACTCAGGATGCAAAGCCGGTCATGGGGAAAGGGTCGGGACCTCTGGGGGTCGACGTAATGAAAAAATCACTACGTCGGGGGTCTGGGCATGCGAAAACGAAAACGCCGGAAGCCTGGCGAAGACCCCAACCATATGCAGTTGGGAGTACCGCAGTTGTGGGTATCGTCTTCCGTCGAGCTCCCTCTGGGGCCCTGAAGCGCTGTGCTGGGCGGGGGAAACGCATGCGGACTGCGCTACTGGGACCTTCGGTGGAGCCCCCTATGGGGCCACGGAGCGCTGCCCTGGGCGGGGGAACCGTATTCGAACTGCGCCATGGGGACCTTCGGTGGAGCTCCCTCTGGGGCCACGGAGCGTTGTAGTTGGTGGGGGAACCGCATGCGGACTGCGCTATTGGGACCTTCGGTGGAGCTCCCCCTGGGGCCACGACGAGCTGCACTGGGAGGAACCGCATGCGGACTGCGTCAATGGGACCTTCGGTGGAGCTCTCTATGGGGCCACAAAACGCTGTACTGTGTGGGGGAACCGCATGCGGACTGCGCTATTGGGACCTTCGGTGGAGCTACCCCTGGGGCCACGACGAGCTGTACTGGGGGAAGCTGCATGCGGACTGCGCCACTGGGACCCTTGGTAGAGCTTGCTCTGGGGCCACGACACGCTGTATTGGGTGGGGAACCGCATGCGGACTGCGCTACTGGGACCTTCGATCGAGCTCCCTCTGGGGCCACGAAGAACTGTACTGGGCAGGGGAACCGCATGCGGACTGCGCCACTGGGACCTTCGGCGGAGCCCCCTCTGGGGCCACAAAGCGCTGTATTGGGTGGGGGGATCCGCATTCGGATTGCGCCACTGGGACCTTCTGTGGGGCTCCCTCCGGGGCCACGAAGCGCTGTACTGGGCGGGTGAACAGCATGCAGACTGCGTCACTAGGACCTTGGGCCACGAACCGCAGGCGGACTGCTCTACTGGGACCTTTGGTGGAGCTCCCTCTGGGGCTACGACACGCTGTGCTGGGTGGGGAAGCCGCCTGCGGACTGCGCTACTGGGACCTTCGGTGGAGCTCCTTCTGGGTCCACGGAACGCTGTACTGGTTGGGGGAACCGCATGCGGACTGCTCCACTGGGACCATCGGTGGAGCTCCCTCTGGGGCCACGAAACGCTTTACTTGGTGGGGGGACCGCATGCGGACTGCGCCACTGGGTCCTTCGGTGGAGCTCCCATTGGGGCCACGACACGCTGTACTGGGTGAGGGAACCGCATGCGGACTGCGCCGCTGGGACAGCATGTGGATCTTCCTTCCTCTGGGGCCACGAAACGCTGTACTGTGTGGGGGAACCGCATGCGGACTACGCCAATGGGTGGAGGATCTGCACCACTGGAGCCTTCGGTGGAGCTCCCTCTGGAGCCACGAAACGCTTTACTTGGCGGGGGAACCGCATGCGGACTGCGCCACTGGAACCTTCGGTGGAGCTCCCTCTGGGGCCACGAAGCGCTGTACTGGGTGGGGGAACCTCATGCGGACTGCGCCATTGGGACCTTCGGTGGAGCTCCCTATGGGGCCACGACACGCTGTACTGGGGGGAGCCGCATGCGGACTGCGCCACTGGGACCTTCGGTGGAGCTCCCTCTGTGGCCACGGAACGTTATATTGGATGTGGGAAACGCAGGCGGACTGCGTCACTGGGACTGGGGCCACGACGAGCTGTACTGGGGGGAGCTGCATGCGGACTGCGCCACTGGGACCTTCGGTGGAGCTTCCTCCGGGGCCGCGACACGCTGTATTGGGCGGGGGAAACGCACGCGGACTGCGCCACTGAGGCATTATGCAGTTCTTCCTTCCGTCGGGGGCCACGAAACGTTGTACTGGGCAGGTGAACCGTGTGCGGACTACGCCACTGGGACCTTCGGTGGAGCTCCCTCTGGGGCTACGGCACGCTGTGCTGGGTGGGGAAGCCGCCTGCGGACTGCGCCACTGGGACCTTCGGTGGAGCTCCCTCCGGGGCCACGAAACGTGATGATGATGGTGATGGTGATATGATGATGATGATGATGATGATGATGATGATGATGATGATGATGATGATGATGATGATGATGATGATGATGATGCTGATGCTGATGCTGATGCTGATGCTGATGCTGATGCTGATGCTGATGCTGATGATGCTGATGCTGATGCTGATGCTGATGCTGATGATGATGATGATGATGATGATGATGATGCTGATGCTGATGCTGATGATGACGATGATGATGATGATGATGATGATGATGATGCTGATGATGATGATGATGATGATGATGATGATGATGATGGTTGTGATTGTGATGATTACCATGGTGGTGGTGATGATGGTGATTGTGATGGTGATGGTGATGGTGGTGATGATGATGCTGCTGATGATCATGAGGATGCTGCCGATGATAATGCTGCTGATGGTGGTGGTGGTGATGGTGATGATGCTGCTGCTGATGATGAGGAGGAGGATGATGCTGATGATGAGGAGGAGGAGGAGAAGGAGGAGGATGATGATGATGAGGAGGATTATGACGCTGATGGTGATGCTGATGCTGCTGCTGCTGATGCGGATGCGGATGCGGATGCGGATGCGGATGCGAATGCTGACACTGATGCTGATGCTGATGTTGATGTTGATGTTTCTGATGTGGATGTCGATGCTGATGCTGCTGCTGATGAGGATGAGGATGAGGATGAGGATGAGGGTGGGGAGGATGATGAGGATGATGAGGATGATGAGGATAATAAGGATAATGAGGATGGGAGGAGGCAGGAGGGAGAGAAGGGAGAAGGGAGAGGAGGGAGGACGGGGAGGAGGAGGGGGATGAGGAGAAGGAGGAGGAACGCGGGGCGCTGTCTCCTCAAAACGAGGTCCCAACACCACAGGATGGTTGGGAATAATCATGAACTTCTGGCGCTCCGCGCGGATTTCGTGGGTCCGCGCTGGGCCCCCCCGGAGGCGCCTCCTGGCTCCGCCCCTGGCACGCTCCGCACGCCAGGGAGGAGGTCCAGCGCAGATCCAAGAAATCCGCGGGGAGCGCCAAAAAGTTACGTTTATGGCGTTTTTTGTTCTTTGTTCATCTATGCATGACTCCAGACATTGGCTTCTCGACAACATCGAGGCGGAAGGTTTTTGTTAGTAGTTTTCGGCTCCACGGGGCCCTTCTGATGCCTCGGCACCGTCGGGCAACGGCTCGGTAGGAAGTCCTGGCCCCAGGAGAGTGGTCGAGAAGGCGGGGGCCCGTGTCTCGAACACAGCCAGACGCCAGCTCTCTCGGATTAGAAACTTCTGGAGTTCCGCGCGGACTTCGTGGGTCGCGCTCGCCTCCCACTGTCGCCGTCGTCGTCGTCGGCGTTGGCGGTGGCGGCGGCGGCGTCTTCGCCGCGCGGCCTCTGGCGCCGCCACTGGCGCGCTCCGCCCAGCGCCGATCCGAGATATCCGCGCGCACCTCCGAACGGTTATGCTCATAGAGCGTTTCCATTCTCCAGGCATGGGCTTCATCAAGCCGGACTCCGGGGGCGACGACGTCTTCGTGCACCGGAGCGACATTTTGGACGCCCAGTGGCTCGTCGAGGGCACGCCAGTGCAGTTCGAGGAGCACTGGGACACCGGGAGGGGGAAGAGGATAGCGCGGAGGGTCTGCGGGGCCGGCGGCGCGTCCGGCGGTGCGGAGGGGCTGCTGGACGGCGTGATGAAGATGTGGCTGCCGGAAAGGCTCGCGCTTCGCAGAATTGCCCTTTCGCGTGCCCCTAACAGCCCTCCCTGACGACGGCCGTCGACGGTCCTTGCAGGCCAGTGGACGGCGGATTGCCTCTCCGGTGGGACCTTCGCTGCCCTCCCTTCGGCAGTTCGTACTGGCGGCTCATCTTCCAGTGCACCAGTGTTTGGTGCTGAGGCCGCTTGCGCACTCCTCGTGGCGAAATTTCTCTACGCCTGAGGGCCCACTCCCGCCTTCCCGCCCGATGCGTCTTCACCATCGCTGGATATCAGAAGTCCCCAGTTTGTCCTGGCCCGATGTTGTCCCAGTCCTGGCCTCGTGTAACGAAAGTTGCTGAAAACCTCCCGCCGCGGTTTTTTCACGAGCTCAGGGTCATTTAGGACGCGATTCCATGGAGGTGACATTTAGCGTCGGCGCTGGTCGATAACACGCCTGATTCGGCCTGATCCGGTTGAATTCCGCTAGATCCTGCCGAAGCAGGCTTTCAAAACGCATTGGCGACCGCCCTCGTTGGTGACTGACGTTTTCAAAAGCCATGTCAGAAACGTTTATTCGGCAAGTGCTCGTGAGAGAGCAGTGACGAAGCATAGGAGAACCGGCCAACCCATGAAGGCAACGTGCCTAAGCATGGTTTCGAGGGTTGTCTGCCCATACCAAGGAGCATACTGGTACAAGCCACTACCCGGTCTGTCATATGTGTTCATACTCCTTATTTAATGGTTGCCGCCTTTGCCGCCGACCCCAAATTGGGGCCATGTCTTCCGATGTGTTGTGTTCTGGTGTTCAGCAGCCATGCTCAACGTTGTGACTGTTCGGCTTCTGTATTATCCTACTTTTACTCCTGCGTTTGCTGAGACAGTCACAGATAGTTGGCCTGGGAAAATAATCGGTGCCTAGTTTCTTTCCAATTCTTTCTTATCCTATTCCTTTCCTGCTCCTCCTCCCTTCCTGTTCCCCTCCTCATGCAGCTGGATTGGGAGAAGGAGGACGCGGAGGAGGAGGAGGAGGAACAGGAGGAGGAGGAGGAGAGGAGGAGGAGGAGGAGGAGGAGGAGGAGGTGGAGGAGGAAGAAGAGGAGGAGGAGGAGTCACGATCTGGTCTTGACGCCGGTACTTCGGCCTCAGGTGGCCTTTTGGGGACGAGTTCGGCACCTCGGGAAACAGTTTTGTCTCCCTGGATCTAGAGACCTTGGGATGGTTTCTGGACTGTGCAGTTTGTCGTGGCCGTCGGTCCATCCTGTGTTTGTTGTGGGTCACAATCTCATGGATCGTTCGTGGGGTCTCTTGGAACGCTCTTGAGGCGGTGGCAATGTCAGAGTTCTGAGGGATGCGTCTTGGGTCAGTGTATTGTTCGCGGCTGACCTTCGAACTGTTCGCCGAGCAGGTTTCACGGGGGCGTATTGGAGGTAAGTTTTGGGCCTCTGAAGGGCCTCCTGGGGGCCGCTTTGTGGCTTCTTGAGGCTCTTTTGGGGCTCCCTGGGGGCCTCCTGGAAGCCATTGTGAGAGTCTCCGAGCGATATTTTGACGACCCTGGCCCGCTTGGACCGTCTAGCAGGCGTCTTGATGCCCTCTCGGCCTTGTTGTCGCCTCTCTGGCCCCCCTTGGCGCGTGCAGTTTGGGTTCTTGTTGGGGCTGGGGGGGCAACTTCGCGTTTTGGGGCTCGTGGGGGGATTCTGGGGGGAACAATCTCACGCGCCCAGAGACCCACAGAGGGTCGGCGGATTCCGAGGAGGGAGGCCAAGGTCTCTCGGGGTCACGAAGAGGAGCCCCGCCGGCACGACGTTTGTCCTTGTGCTTGGCCTCCAGAGGCCCACTTTGCGCCAGGGGGCTATCAAGAAACCTTCGACGACGGCGACGACGACGACAGCGACGACGACGACGACAACGTCCCGTGCTGCGCCCGGACGCGGCGACAAGAAGAGCCCCAAAGCCTCGATCCTCGAGGCTCGAGGTTCGAATCTCGACGTGATCTGGCGGTGGTCGGCGGCGCGCCAAGGGGGGCAGGGGGGAGGGGGGGCGGGCTTCTTTTGTCGTCGTCGTCGCCGTCGTCGTCGTCGTCGTCGGATGCTTCTTAGAAGCCCTCGGAGGGCTTCTGACAAGCCCGCGATGGGCTTCTAAGAAGCCTGGCGAAAATGTTGCAGGGTGGGTGGCCCCTTGAGACCTATGAAAAACGTATGCCCAGGGACTCCAGGAGGCTGGCGGTGTCAGACGTGGTGGGGGCGTGGTGGGGGGGGCCCTGGCGAAAATTTTGCAGGGTGGGTGGCCCCTAAAAACTTACGCGAAAAACGTATGCCCAGGGACTCCAGGAGGCTGGCGGTGTCAGACGTGGTGGGGGTGGTGGGGGGGTCCAGGCGAAAATTTTGCAGGGTGGGCGGCCCCTAAAATCCGATGAACAACGTATGCCCAGGGATTCGATGAGGCTTGCGGTGTCAGACGCGAAGAGCGTGGTGAGGGGGGTCCCGGCGAAAATTCAGCTGGCCCTTAAAAACTTGTAAAAAAACGTATGCCCAAGGACTCCAGCAGGCTGGCGGTGTCAGACGTGGTGGGGGCGCGACGGGGGAGTCTTGGCGAACATTTTGCAGGGTGGGTGGCCCCTGGAAAAATTCGAGAACAAATATGCCCAGGGACTCCAGACGCTGGCGGTGTCAAACGTGGTGGGGGCGTGGTGGGTGGGGTCCTGGCGAAAATTTAGCAGGGGAGGTGGCCCCTAAAAACTTAGGAAAAACTTGTGTCCAGGGACTCCAGGGGGCTGGCGGTGGCCGACGTGGTGGCGGCGTGGTGGGGGGTCCCGGCGAAAATTTTGCAGGGTGGGTGGCCCCTAAAAACTTATTGGAACAAAAACGTATGTCCAGAGATTCCAGGAGGCTGGCAGTGTCAGACGTGGTGGGGGCGTGGTGGGGGGGTCCCGGCGAAAATGTTGCACGGTGGGTGGCTAACAAAAACTAACGGAAAACGTATGCCCAGGGACTCTAGGAGGCTGGCGGTGTCAGACGTGGTGGGGGCGTGGTGGGGGGGTCCGGCGAAAATTTTGCAAGGTGGGTGGCCCTTGAAAACCTATGAAAAAATCGTGTGCCCAGGGACTCCAGGAGGCTGGCGGTGTCAGACGTGGTGGGGGCGTGCTGGGGGGGTCCCACCGAAAATTTTGCAAGGTGGGTGGCCCCTAAAAACTTGCGCGAAAAACGTATGCCCAGGGACTCCAGGAGGCTGGCGGTGTCAGACGTGATGGGGGCATGATGGGGGGGTGCAGGGTGGGGCGCCGTAAAAAAATACGAAAAACATATGCCCAGAGGATTCAGGAGGCTGGGGGGTGGCTGACGTGGTGCGGGCGTAGTGTGGGGGTCCCGGCGAAAATTTTGCAGGATGTGGTGGCGTCCAAAACCTTATGAAAGACGTATGCCCAGAGGTTCCCGGAGGCCAGCGGTGTCAGACGCGGTGGGGGCATGGTGGTGGTGTCCCGGCCAAAATTTTGCAGGGTGGGTTGCCCTTGAAAACTTATGAAAAACGGATACCCAGGGACTCCAGGAGGCTGGCGGTGTCAGTCATGGTGGGGGCATGGTGGGGGGGTCCGGTGAAAATTTTGCAAGGTGGGTGGCCCTGAAAAACCTATGAAAAATCGTGTGCCCAGGGACTCCAGGAGGCTAGCGGTGTCAGACGTGGTGGGGGCGTGGTGATGGGTCCAGGCGAAAATTTTGCAGGGTGGGTGGCCCCTTAAAAAAACTTATGAAAACGTATGCCCATGGGATTCCAGGAGGCTGGCGGTGTCAGACGTGGTGGGGGCGTTGTGGGGGGGTCCCAGCGAAAATGTGGAAGGGTCGGTGGCCCCTAGAATCTTTCGAAAAACGTATGCCCAGGGACTCCAGGAGGCTGGCGGTGTCAGACGTGGTGGGGGCGTGGTGGGGGGTCCCGGCGAAAATTTTGCAGGGTGGGCGGCCCCTAAAAACAATGATTTTGTAGGGTGGGCGGCTCCTAAAATCTTATGAAATACGTATGCGCGGGGACTCCAGGAGGCTGGCGGTGTCAGACGCGGTGAGGGCGTAGTGGGGGGGTCCCGGCGAGAATTTTGCAGGGTGGGTGGCCCCTAAAAACCTATGAAAAAAACACGTGTGCCCAGGAACTCCAGGAGGCTGGCGGTGTCAGACGTGGTAGGGGCGTGGTGCGGGGGTCCAGGCGAACATTTTGCACGGTGGGTGGCCCCTAAAAAACTTATGAAAAACTTATGCCCAGGGATTCCAGGAGGCTGGCGGTGTCAGACGTGGTGGGGGCGTGGTGGGGGGGTCCCAGCGAAAATTTTGCAGGGTGGGTGGCCCCCTAAAAACGTGCGAAAAACGTATGCCCAGGGACTCCAGGAGGCTGGCGGTGTCAGACGTGATGGGGGCGTGGTGGGGGGGTCCCGGCGCAAATTTTGCAGGGTGGGCGGCCCCTAAAAACGACGATTTTGCAGGGTGAGGCGCTCTGAAGTATTTAGGAAAAACGCATGCCCAGAGGCTCCAGGAGGCTGGCGGTGGCAGACGCGGTGAGGGCGTAGTGGGGGGGGTCTCGGCGAAAATTTTGCAGGGTGGGTGGCCTCCAAAGCCTTGTGAAAGACGTATGCCCAGAGGCTCCTGGAGGCTGGCGGTGTCAGACGTGGTGGGGCCGTGGTGGTGGTGTCTGGGCGCAGATTTTGCAGGGTGGGGGACGTGGCGGGGGTGTGCCGGCGAAGATTTTGCGGGGTGTGTGGCCTCTAGAAACGTATGAAAAACAAATGCCCAGAGGCTCCAGGATGCTGGCGGTGTCAGACGTGGAGGGACACGTGGTGGGGGGGTCCCGGTGAGGATTTTGCAGGGTGGGGGGCCCCTAGAATCGCGCGAAAAAGGTGTGCCCAGAGGCTCCAGGACGCAGGGGGTATCAGACGCGGTGGGGGCGTGGTGGGGGGCTCCCATCCTGGCTGTCGCGGAAGCCACCTGAGTGGCACACATGCGCATTGACAGACGTCGTGGGCATTGGACATGTTATTCCATGTTCGGCGAGTGCCGATAAGGACATTAATGTGCGGGTGTACTCGGATGCGTTCGTGTAATATGTGCCGATCAAGCTTTATAGCCATATCTGTATATATTACACCTGGGATGACCCAATCAGTGGAAGATTCGAAACTTAGCCATATGGATATTAAGATCGATTGTGAGATCGATAATGAGATCGATCGTGGAATCGGTAGAGAATAGATGGAATGTCGATCGTGAGACCGAGAGTGAAACCGATTCAATGAGATCGATAGGGAGATCGATCGCGAGATCGCTCGTGCGATCTCTAGTGAGATCGCTTGCGAGATCGATTGCGGGATCGATAGTGAGATCGATTGTGAGATCGAGAGAGAGGCGGGAAATGAGATCGATGCTGAGACCGATCGATAAGAAGATCGACCAGGAACCCGGGAACCTGGGAACCTCGCCGCCCACCAAAATCGGCCCAGGAGCCGGGAACCCAGGAACCCGAAACCAGGAACCCGGGAACCCAGCGTGCGACCAGAATCGGCGGGGCATTTCCGCCAAATCCTTCAACATCCGCTCCGACCCCTCCAGTGAAAGCACTGATTGGGGAATATGCACATCGTAGATCGAAGCATATGTATATGTTTGTTTAAACTATCTAGACATGTACACCTACGTACATGCTTACTCATATATGTGTAAGAGGGAGAGAAAGAGAGAGAGAGAGAGAGAGAGAGAGAGAGGGACAGAGAGAGAGAGAGAGAATAACAGAAGCGTTCGGCCCATCCTGGCACCCTGCATGAATTGTAGGTCTGAGGGTTTGTGGATCCTTGTTCGGAACTTTTGGGTACGTATCGGTATCGGAAGCCCCTTGGAGGCACTCTTGGAATATCTTGGGGCCGTTCGGGGACTCTCAGAGGTTTGTTGGGCCTTTGGGGGCCTGGGCTTCTTGGGGTCCTCTCGGGGGCCTGTTGGCGGTCTCCGGGGTCATCTTGGGTCGGAGGACTCGGAATGTCAGTTCCTGCTCCCCCTCTTGAGGCCCGCTTGGGCTGCCTGGGGGCCTCTTGGTGCCCACTTGGGACGTCCTGGGGCCATATTAGAAGCCTCCGGGGCAGTCTTAAGGTCATCTTGGGCTGTCTTGGAGTGTCCGAAGCCCGAGATGGCGAGAGCGCTAACATCTTTCAAAACATGTTGGGAAATCATTGATGGCTGCTTCTTGGGGCCCTCTTGGGGCCTCTCGGATCCGTCTTGGGGCGTGCCTCAGGAACACGCGAGAGCGCCCACGAGCGCTGGGAATTCGGTGCTGCGGGTCTCTTCTCGAACTTACCTCAATACAGATGTCTTTCAGGGACCTGAGGACACCGCGCCGCTTGTCGCAGCATCCGGGGGGAGGGGCTGCCAATTCTGGGTGCAGAAGGTCAGATAGGACGAGGGCACGGGAGGGATGCAAAGTAGTGTCCAGCTGTTTTCGAGGTGGGGTTCAAAACGAGCCCGAGGAAGCTGCGCGCCGAGGAAGGCCCCCGTGCGATGGGGTGCGGTCACCGGGTTGCCTTGCTAGGGGCCTCGCTGGCAACACATTTGCCACCTTACACACGCACACTTGCGCACACGTTTTCTCCACCGCTGCGACGAAGCATCGGCTGATCAGCAGCAACAGGATACGCTACTTACGCTGCAATCGACCGTAAGCCGACCGCGCCCGAGCGCAAACAACCACAATCACAATCACAATCGCAATCGAAATCACACACGCACACTCACACACTCGCGCGCACATATGTCTAATTACATCCGCAGCCCGGCGCGGAGCGACACGGATGGCACACATCCATGAAGTTAGTAGGCGAGGGCTCGCCCATCAGAGACGTTCCTCCTCTCTCATGGCTGCTTCCTCTTTTTCCCCCCTCCTCAGCCTTCCCGCCTCCTGCCTCGCTCCTCCCTCCTCGTTCCTTCCCTTGCCGCAGGTCGTTTCGGTGAGAAGGCGTCGCATGCCTCGGTTTCTGGATTCTTCCCTCCTTAGCTCCTCCTGCCTCTCCTTGCTCAACTCGCTATCCTCCTGCTCCTCCTCCTCCTCCTTGCACTCCCCCTCAGAGTCCTCCGCGGCTCCTCCACCTCAGCCAACTCCATCCCCTCGTGATTCCGCCCTGCCGCGTACCCTCTTCCCACTCGTTCTCCCTCTCAACGTCCTCCCCGGGCAGCGGTGCCACACGGTTCGTCAGCAGAATCCCCGCCCTTCCACCCCTTGGATGTTCGGAATTGGATTTTGGGGAAAACCGCGCCTCCCACTTGATCATGCCAGGACCCGTTTGCTCCATACAGTCGAGGTTGATTAGTAGGTCGACCCTGTCGCGATAGATGCCTCCTACATGCCTATTGCAACATGACGCTCGGAAGGGTTTCGTGTCCTCTCGTGTCCTCTCCAATCAACCTCGACTGGCGATCGGTCAGCAGTGCCGAGGGCCATCCGCCGGGCTCCCGACACTTCTGGGGGATCCAAAGAATATACACCACCACCACGTCGATTCCTCCTCTCGCCTCTTTCCAGCGAGAGGGAGGGGGGGAGGGAGGTGGTGGTGGTGTATATTTTGGGGCCTGCTAACTTCGCCTGGCCCGGGGGGCTTGTGCGTGCTATGCCGCAAAGGGGCTTCGGCTTCATCGTCCCGAGCGGCGGGGGCGACGACGTCATGATCCACATCAACGAGGCCCTCAGAACCTCCGGGGGCCTTGCCAAAGCCACAGACCAATCGCGTATTGGCATGAGCTTCCGCAAGGTCGTCCCGTCCTCCTCCTCCTCCCCTCCCCCTCCCCCCCCCCCCTCCCCTCCCCCTCCCCCTCCCCCTCCTCCTCCTCCTCCTCCTTCCTCCTCCTCCTCGTCCCTCCCCTCCTCCTCCTCCTCCTCCTCCTCCTCCTCCTCCTCCTCCACCTCCCCACCCCCCTCCTCCTCTTCCTCCTCCTCCACCTCCGGGAGCCTTGCCAAAGCCACAGGCCAATCGCGTATCGGCATGAGCTTGCACGCACCTCCCAGTGCAACCGCCGTCTCTGGGGCACATCCAGGACCCCACCCAGAAGCATCCAGGACGCCACAAGTCGAGGAAGGAAGAACGGCACAGGCATACACTTTTGGCGTGCAGCGCAGATTTCTTAGATCTGCGCTGGACCCCCCTGGCCCCGGAGGCGGCGCCGCTGGGGCCAGCGCAGATCCGAGAAATCCGCGCGGAGCGCCAAAAACTTCTGTTTATGCCGTTATTGTCCTCCTCTGACAGAGCCCCAATCGGTTGCAGGCACGGAGTGACCTTCCAGTCGCAGTGCTCTCATTGGTGCGCGGCCTTCGTTGCGGGCAGGCGCGGGAGGGCACAACACCAGAGCACGCGGGCCGCTGCCGCCGCACCGCGCGCGGCGATCGGCAGGCCAGGCATCAGAGGTCTCCTCCTCCTCTTCCTCCTCCTCCCCTTCCTCCTCCTCCTCCTCCTCCACCTCCCCCTCCTCCTCCTCCTCCTCCTCCTCTCCTCCTCCTCCTCCTCCTCCTCCTCCTCCCCCCCCCCTCCTTCCTCCTCCCCCCTCCCTTCTCCTCCCCCTCCTCCTACTCTTCCTTCTCCTCCTCCTCCCCCTCCTTCTCCTCCCCCTCCTCCTCCTCTTCCTTCTCCTCCTCCTCCTCCTCCTCCTCCTCCTCCTCCAGCCCTGCCTGGGGCCGCCCTTGCGCGCAGCCGACCTCCCGGAGCCCACAGAAAACCTGCCGGGAGCCGCTCGAGGCCACGAGGAGCCCCCACGCGGCCTCTCCCGCCTGACGTCCGACGATGCGATCATGTCAATCCGCGGCCCCAAGAGGTCCCGACCCCTTCCCCCGGGCCTCTCCTTCGCCCCGGATCCACTTGCGGCGGCCCTTGCGCCCGAGAACGGCCCCCGAGGAGGCCGAAGTCTAGGAGAGCTGGTGGCATCGAGGACAGAACATCAGATCGTGGGAGTTCTGGGCCCCCCACTCCCTGGGCCTCTTCCAGGGGGCGTGCTGACCAGGACTGCGAGGCGAGAAGGGAGACGTGGCGAGAGGAGCCTCCCGGGAGGCCGACGAAGGCGAACTCGAGGCAAGGGCAGCGGCATCGATGCTCCTCCGCCGATCCTCCGGTGAGCGGCGCAGAAAGATGGGTTCGACTTCGCCGACGCTCGTGCGCAGGCTGTCTGCTCAAGGTTTCGCGCCAGCGCCCCCTCTCTCCAGCGCAGCGTTCTGCGCCGGTGGCCGGCGTAAGCCACTGAGTCAGGTCGCCATGTCATCGTGCGCAAGGCCCGATCCCAGAGGTCCGATCTATTTTATTTCTCAATGTGGGGTCCCTGGACGTCCCGACCCTTTCGCTAGGGCTGGCTGTGCGTCTCGGGTTTTTGCTGAAGGTCCCGTGGACTGGCGAGGGCCCCCAGAGGCCGAAAACTACATGACACCTCCGCATTGCATGTCTCAGTACAGTCACGACGCTGAAATTAGGACCGCTTTCGGTTTGGAAGGGGCTCGCTGTTCCTTAGGCCGTGGTTGTTCCTGTAGCCCTCCTCGTGCACCCAGGCGCTGTTGGCCCCGAAGAGGGGCTTCGTTCCGTATTCAATCGCTTGGCTCATTCTGCTAGCTCATATTGCATGACCGCGGGGGCTTCTCCGCGGGCTCGGGGCCAATGCGGATTAGGGGAAGGAGGAGGAGATGGAGGAGGAGGAGGAGGAGGAGGAGGAGGATGAAAAGGAGGAGGAAAAGGAGGAGGAAAAGGAGGAGGAGGAGGAGGAGGAGGAGGAAAAGGAGGAGGAACAGGAGGAGGAAAAGGAGGAGGAAAAGGAGGAGGAGGAGGAGGAGGAGGAGGAGGAGGAGATGGAGGAGGAGGAGGAGGAGGAGGAGGAGGAGGAAAAGGAGGAGGACGAGGATGAAAAGGAGCCGGATGAGGAAGCCTCTCTATGGCCTCTTGCGGCGCTCTTGAGGCCAGACAGGGTCGTCGTCAAGATGCTTCTTTGGGAGGCCTTTTGGGGCTCTTGAGAGGCCTCTCGGGGGCGCCGGGGAGGCATTTTTAATGCCTCCGGGGGCCTCTCGGGAGCTTCTTCGGGCCTCTTGAAACTGCTTGGGGCCCCTCGGGGCATCTTGGGAACCTCTGGTGGCCTCTCGGGGGCCGCGTAGGGGCCTCTTGGGTGCATTTTTGGGGACCTCTTGGGGGCATCTGAGGGGGTATCGAGGGGCTTTGGGGGGAATCCTTGACGGTCTCTTGGCGCTTCTTGGGGCATCTTAGAGGCCTCTTGAGGTATCTCGGAGCCCTCTTGGAGCCTCATGGGCCGCCTTGGGATTATTTTGGGGGCCTGTCTGGCCGTCTCGGATGCGAAAGGGAGATATGCAAAACATGTTCGTTTTCTTTAGGAACTGAAATCAGCATTGCTGCGCGAGGCTCCCCTGAGAGCCCTCTTGGAACGCTCTTGGACGGCATTCGGGTCCTCCTGCATCTCTCTGAGGCACTCTTGGGGGCACCTTGGGCCGTCTTGGAAGCTTCTTGAGCCGCCTTGAGGCCTCCTGGTGCGCTCTGGGAGGCGCCGAGGGCGGCGCCGAGTAGAGTGTCCCATGAACTTGCCGGGGACTTGGCTGGGATGTCCCGGGGTATTTGTCGTCCAGGGACCCTCAGGGGCGGGTCCGCGCGCGCGAACTATTAATATTCTAAGCCTGCTGCTGGAGATCGTAGGACGCCTCTGGCCCAGTGGGGCGGCGAATTTAGCGCTCCTCATCTCAGCAGCCCGTCTGTGCCTTGCAGGTCTGGGCTTCTTTCCGCCGCCCAGCAGAAGCCAGGCGAAGGCTGGCGGACCCGTGGCTGCTGAAACGGAGCTCCAGGACATGGTGTTTTTGTTTCTTCCGGGAAGCAGCCCGTTCACTATTGAGCGCGCTGAGATTTATTCTGGGAAGGTGTTTTTTGTTTTTCCGGGAAAACCGTTTCTGATGGGCGCGTGTTCCACCACCACCACCATAAGTTGGAGGGGGGGTCCTCCTCCTCCTCCTCCTCCTCCTCCTCCTCCTCCTCCTCTTCCTCTTCCTCTTCCTCCCTCCCTCCTCCTCCTCCTCCTCCTCCTCCCCCTCCCCCCTCCTCCTCCTCCTCCTCCTCCCCTCGTTGTCCTCTTCCTCCTCGCCCTCCTCCTCCTTCCCCCCTCCAACTTATGGTGGTGGTGGTGGAAAACAGGCTCATCAGTTTCAGCAGCCACGGATTTGCCAGCCCCCGCCCAGTTTTCCGAGCCCAGGTCTCGCCGGGCGCCGCCCTGGCGCAGGGCGTGCGGGTGCAGTACACCGCCGTCTGGGACCCGGCGAAGGGCAAGATGAAGGCGACCAGCTGCGTGCCCGCCGCGGACGCGCAGGGCGCCCAGGCCGCCTCCTCCTCCTCCTCCTCATCATCATCATCCGCATCATCCTCATCCTCATCCTCATCCTCATCCTCATCCTCCTCCTCATCCTCCTCCTCATCCTCATCCTCATCCTCCTCCCCATCCCCCTCCTCCTCCTTTTCCTTCTCCTCCTTCTCCTGCTCCTCCTCCTTCTCCTCCTCCTTCTCCTCCTCCTCCTCCTCCTCCGACGTTCTGCCGCAAGGTCGTCCCGTCCTCCTCCTCCTCCTCCTCCTCCTCCTCCTCCTCCTCCTCCTCCTCCTCCTCCTCCTCCTCCTCCTCCTCCTCCTCCTCCTCCTCCCTCACCCTCACCTCACCCTCACCCTCACCTCCTCCTCCTCCTCCTCCTCCTCGTCCTCCCCCTCCTCCTCATCCTCCTCTTCCTCCTCCTCCTCCTCCTCCCCCTCCCCATCCCCCTCCTCCTCTTCCTCCTCCTCCACCTCCTCCTCCTCCTCCTCCTCCTCCTCCTCCTCCTCCTCATCATCATCATCATCATCATCCTCATCCTCATCCTCATCCTCATCCTCCTCCTCCTCCTCCTCCGCCCAGGCCGGGCGGGACATCGGCGGTGGGGGAAGAGGCAGATGCAGATGGGTCGAGGTACATCCAGGATCCAGGTACATCCCGGGATCTCCAGGGAAATTTGGAGCAGATCGTGACCGCTCCAGCGCGAGTCGAGGGACAGCCGAAGTCCTGATGCCCTCGACGAGCAGCCGCGGAGGGCTTTGGCGGGGTCCATTACGAACCGATATCGATCCGATTCGATGTCGACTTCGGCCGGGCCGATCCGATTCGATGCCGATGTTCCAGAGATGCTGTTTTTTCGGGCCGATGCTCAGGGCGCCAGAGACGGGGGCACAGCAAACGAGGGCACGGGGATCGCCGATTTTCGCGTTTGGCTATGCCCCCGTTTGGGAGGCCCTGGGCGCCGTAGACAGGGGCATCGTACACGGGGGCAGAAGGAAACGCCTGAGCCCCCGTTTAGTTAAGCCCTCGTTTGTGAAGCCCCGAGATGCTTGCATGTCACTGTGGCGAACTCTGGCCCGGCCGATTCGATTTGATTCCGACTTCGTGCCGGTGAGTCCCGATCTGGCACGCGCTTCGATTCGATTCGATTTCCCGATTCGATGCTGACTGATAATTGCGAATGGGGGGGGCGGACATGCTGGCGTCGTACCAAAATCTACGACGGGCGGTGTTTCGGATTATTGAATCGCTTCGCTCATTCCGCCGGCCCATAATGTCGCACCGTGGTCGCCTGTCCGAGTGGGCGTTTGCAGTGTGGAGCTGCGGCGTCGGGAGCTGTGTAGTTGTCGATAAATGTGTTGTTGTTTTTTCATGGGGCTTCTAGGTGTTTGCAGTTTTTCGACGGCTTTGGTGCCATCGTGGGGGCGTGTTACCCGTGGTATCCCGCTGTGGGGCCGTTCGAGCCGGGGGAAGAGACTTCTTGGGGATCTTGGAGGCTTCTTGGGTCATCTTGGAGACGTCTTGGGCCGTCTGGAGGACATCTTGGGCGTCGTGGAGCGATATTCGGGCGTCTCGGACCTCTCTTGGACCGTGTTGGGGGCGTTCTTGGGGCCCTCTTGGGCCGTCCTGGAGGCCTCTGGGGCCGTCTTGGAGCCGTCTTGGGCCGTCTTGGGGCCCTCTTGGGGGCCTCTTGGGCCCTCTTGGGGCGATCTTGGAGGCCTCTTGAGCCGTTTAGGGGCGTCGGGGAACCGAAAAGGTTAAAACGCCCAAATCTGTCCAAAACCAAAGGAAAAGCACAGTTTCTTGCCTCTTGGGGCCCTCTTGGTAGTTCTCTTGGAGGCCTCTTGGGGCATCTAGGAGGCTTCTTGGGTCATCTTGGAGACGTCTTGGGCCGTCCCGAGGCCATCTTGGGCGTCGTGGAGCGATCTTCGGGCGTCTCGGACCTCTCTTGGACCGTGTTGGGGGCGTTCTTGGGGCCCTCTTGGGCCGTCTTTGAGGCCTCTGGGGCCGTCTTGGAGCCGTCTTGGGCCGTCTTGGGGCCCTTTTGAGGGCCTCTTGGGCCCTCTTGGGGCGATCTTGGAGGCCTCTTGAGCCGTTTTGGGGCGTCGGGGAACCGAAAAGGTTGAAACGCCCAAATCTGTCCAAAACCTAAGAAAATGCATTGATTTTTGCCTCTTGGGGCCCTCTTGGGAGTGCTCCTGGAGGCCTCCTGGGGCATCTTGGAGGCTTGTTGGGTCATCTTGGAGACCTCTTGGGCCGTCTGGAGGCCATCTTGGGCGCCGTGGAGCGATCTTCGGACGTCTCGGACCTCTCTTGGATTGTGTTGGGGGCCTCTTGGGGCCCTCTTGGGGCGATCCTGGAGGATCTGGGGGAGTGTCCCGGGCGTGTCTCGGGCGTGTCCCGGGCTCCTCTCGGGATACTTTTGATCCAGGGACCACCAGGGGCCGCCCCGCGCGCGCGAACCAGAAATACTGTTTACCAGTTACCGGAGATCTTAGCACGCCTCTGGCCCGTTGGGCCGGCGAATTTTTGGCCTCTCGGCCACAGGACCGTTAACAAAACTACTCGGGAATAAAAAGCTGGCCTTGGGAAAAGTTTGGTCGGTGTCCACATGCGAACCCTACTTTACCAACTTAAAATTCCTGGGGTTGGGGTTCACTTCGCTCGGGAGGTCCCGAACGAAGTGAACCGCACCTCCCCCTTTAGAAATCGTGGGGTGGTGGGGCAGGGTTCGCATGAGGCCTTGAGGCCTCCTAGTTTGGGACACCCCGTATTCAAACAATCAAAACATCGCATGTCTGGGCAGTGACGAGGAGGGGCAGGGGGTTCACCGAAGGAAAAGATACCGATGTACCAATACCCTTCCCTCGCTGCCACGGCTGGATTCGCTTCGAGGTGCTGGTCAGAATGGACTGCAGGAGAGGTCCATTGAGTAGAGGGGCGGGGGGAAACAAAGAGGAGGGGCAGTGGGGGAGGCTTGGAGGGGATACATATTCAGACAGCGTTACCCCTTCCTCTTTGTTGCTTTTTTCGGCAACATGGGACGCTCTCGTCGCCACGGCTGACCCGTACCGTCTCTGCCTACGCAGTTGCAGTGATAGGCTCGGGATTGGTGAGGGCGCACAGGTAGCCCATGCCTAGCCATGAAGCGGCGAGAGACCTTAGAAGGCGTCCAAGAGGAGGGTGATGGCTAGGGGGGTGAATCTCATGGCTGGGGCCATGGAATCGCCCCAGATCTCATTTCCCTCTCTTCTTATCTCCACACGTCCCTGAAGGTGCCCAAGTCGACCGTGCACATGCCTCCGGTCATGATTTGCGACCCCACCTCTTCGACGCCCCCCCCCCTTTGGACGCCCCTGAGACCTTCAGGCACTCGTTTCCCAGACATGCGTTGGTCGCAGTCGTTCAGTGCGGGGCCTCTGGAAGCCCTGACCTTTTTCCCAAAGGACGTTCTTTGACCGCGAGTATTTTTGTTGGGACGGCCCTAGGGCCCGGCGAGGGCCCCCCCCCAGGATGCCGAATTTTGCAACAACAGAAAAAACTCCCGCCATGATTTCTGTACAACTCCTGGGGCTCCTAGATGGGTTCCGAAGATGTGGTCGGAGGATTGCGCCGCATCGCGGACTCATCTCCGATGCGGCTCGATGTGGAGCCCGACTTTCTCCGCGCCGACGTCGCCGAGGCATCGCCGAGGCATCCTGCATGTATTGCCGATGCATCTGCGATGCGGCGTGACCCGCCGACCCCATACGCTCGGACCCCATCTTGGAGGCACCCAGGAACGCGAGCATGTCTTGGCCCCTCCACGCCAGCTGTTGGCCCCCACCTCTCGGGTCGGGCGAAAGGGGGGGATTGGGAAAGGGGGGGTTACGAAATTTGCTGCATGCAGCTGGTTTCGGCCTCGCCGAGGGGCCCATCCCTCGACACATAGCCGCCTCCGGCGCCGGGAAAATCAGCGACGTGAGCTGATTCTCAACCCCCCCCTTTGCTATCCCCCCCTTTCGCCCGACCCGAACCTCGGGCAGGGCGCCTACGGCGCCGCCGCCTGCAGCGGCGGCAAGGGGGACCCGCCGCCGCCGCCCGGCGGCGACGGCCCGTGGGACAACCTCTTCGTCGCCGGCCTGCCCGCGCCTCGGGAGGGCCGCGGCCCCGCGTGCTGTGCGGCGATCGTCTTCCCTCCCCTGGCTGGTGATGTTCCAACCTCGCCCTCCTCCTCCTCCTCCTCCTCCTCCTCCTCCTCTTCCTCGTCGGCCTGCTCCTACTCCTCATCCATCCTCTACAATTAACACAATGTTGGCAATCCGGCAGTCGTGTCGAGCAACAAGAACGAACCGAAGCCAGAGGGTGTTCACGTGTCGGGCCCTGGGAGGCGATACTCGTTCGACACTGGCTCGGTACTTCGGGCCGGGCGAAAGGGGGGGATTGGGAAAGGGGGGGGGGTACGAAATTTGCTGCATGCAGCCGGTTTCGGCCTCACCGAGGGGCCCATTCCTCGATACATAGCTGCCTCCGGCGCCGGGAGGCGCCGGGGAAATCAGCTACGCGAGCTGATTCTCAAACCCCCCCTTTGCTATCCCCCCCTTTCGCCCGACCCGAATACTGTTCTGGGTGCTCGGAATGTTCTCTTGGATGTGGTCTTTAAGTACGATGGGGGCAACCTAACCCATGGCGACAACAGGCATGGCCGCGGGGGGGACCTCCAAGAGGACTCGAGATCCTCCTGCCTCCAGGGGGTCCACGACGGACCAGACCGTTTTTATCCTCTGGCGAGAAGGGGCGTGAGCGTGGGGGCGAGGGGGCAGGGGGGGCCGGTCACGTCACGATTCGCGCCAGCGCCGTTTGGCATGTCCACAGGAATAGCTCATTCCCAGACGGCGCCGGCGCGAAGCGTGCTCGAAGCGTCACGTGACCCGGGGGGGGGGGAGCGCGGGGCGGGGCCCGTCACGGGCGTCATCGCGAAGGATGATGAAGAAAGGGGGCGTGGGGGGGTGGCTTTTTCGCCGGATGCACCCTGGATGTATACCTTCACCTGAGGTCCCGGCGTTGCGCCTTTTTCGGGGGAGCGTAAGACCCGGGTTTGCCAGGACTCGGGTGCGCGCCCTCGTCTTTTGACGACCGCGCCTCGGAGTTGGACGAGCAGGAGTCTCGTGGGAGGTCCACCGCGGGAGGCCTCGTCGAAGTGCAGGCTCGGCCTCGTCAGTTTTTTCGACGACCTCGTCGGGGATTTTCCGAGTCCCCTGTACCCAGGTCTTACGTTTCCCTGACAGTTTGGCCCGCGAGTGCAGTCGACCCGCATGCTGAGGACGGGCAGCCTTCCCAAGGGTGCTCCTGCATCCTTGGCTCCTCGGTCCATCCGTGGCCACTTATCGTCGGTCGCGCCCTGTGCCCGGGTCTTACGCCCCCCTGCCTTTTCCACGGCATGCGGTCGGGCCGCGGGGCCGTC